TCCGTTAATATAAACAGCAAGCCAAAAATGAATTACACTGCACCACACATGGGACCTCTCCATTCATGACTCATTGGTGATGCTAGAGGCCAAAAAGGTGGAAAACCGTGTACGCAATCTATCTACAGTAATATGCTGTGTGTTGTACAGAATGGGAGAAATGTGACTGATATACACTACGATGCAAATACTATATTTACATGGGATATTACATGAGTTTCCATTTTATATAAGATTTATGAAACGAGTTTAAAAAAAAATCAATTTATCGAGCCTCTGGCGAGCTAAAATGAAAAATGTGTGACGGCTTTCATAAATTTCGTATGAAATGAAATGAAAAATGAAAACGAGTGTAAATCCTTTTTATCACATCATTAAGAGTATTCGTGTAAAACGACAATTTTTATGCAACCTTGATATGTGAAAAGCCTCCATTTTGACCCCAGTGCGTAAGTCTGTGATGTCATGTACTTGCCCGAGGCGTGAGATCACAATTGAAACTTGCAACCACAATCACAAAGCTGATAGGTCATATTACACGGGTAATACGCAAAAAATATGACATAAGTATATTCAATGGATAACACAGTACATTATGTGATAAATATAGTTAATACAATTCTAACCTGTCAAATGAACAAGTTGTGAGGTATATGACGCTTTTAATTTAAAATATATATTTTACTTCAAGGGTCCCTATTGCTTTTGTAATCGACTTTGTGCAAAATGTACAGTTGCTTCATAATGTAACGGAAAGTTTGGCTAGTATCTGACCTTATCGTTTGGCAAAAATACAAACTCAGACATAGAACAAACGCACCAACTTTGGATTTTGAATGGTTTGCGATTCACTTTTGTCTCGTATATCTTTGAAGTCTGTCTGAAATAGATACATCATTTATAATTACTTAGGATTTATTTCCCAAAACTGATCAACTCCTAGACCAAATTAGCAGTCCCATGAAACAAAGTACCGGTCCTTCGATATCACCCTATTACCATATCCTATTTCTAATCTGGTATGTACGTGTCCGACAGTAATAGATCTTTGATAATCTGAGTTATGTAATATGAGTTCAGCTCATAATTCACGACAGCAGAAGAGAAGTTACAGGGTAGCATCCTTAAATAGACAGTGTGCGTCCGGTGTGAGGTAGTATAAGGATAATATACTTGGTTGCAGACGGATATTATCCTGCGTGCCTTGTGTACAGCCATGCTGACATCGTTGACTTATTTGAAACCTTCACAAATAAATGGTTGACCGCAGGATGTTAATAAGACTGAGCTTCTAAGCGCTATTCTGTTAGTAAGAATACACGAGGAAACCTTAAGTGTAACGTAAGTCTGGCAAAATAATGAAAATAGCCTCTGGGCAATAATTTCGTAACCTACATGCACCACAAATAATTTAGATGATTCCGTCAACGAAATGTTCTCCTGTGATTGGTAATTTATGACATAATTGTGTTAATTAACTACGGTATAGTGTTACTAGTACTCTTATTGTAGATATGAAGTTACCGCAATAATAGCTCTCAAGAGCTAATGTTCCTTGTTTACCTGTATGCGACGTTAAATAAAGTTTCTTGTATATTGTATCTGGTACCGTTAATATCTTAATAGGTTTGGTTTGGTTTGGGTTTTATCTTTGTTTTACGTCCTATTAACAGCTAAGATAAGTTAAGGACTGATCTCCATGTGTGCTGTGTACGCGGGCGCTTGTGTATGTGTGCCGGAGACAGGGTTTGTTGTTGTACTTGCCGCCTTGTATAATAGCGCGGATCTGATGCCGACTTTATAGTGCTATCTCACTGAAATACCATGCCAAAGGCACCGAGCAGAGCATTCTGCTCTGGTCACATAATAATTACAATCTTAATATTTACTGTTGCATATATATTGTGATATTTAAAGTCTATACTAAAATTCACTCAATAACCATTGTTCACGCAAATCGGAATTATGATCTGGGTACATATTATGAACAAAGGAACCATAAGCATGGAAACCCTTGGGGAAAGTACAACGAGAACAAGACGATGAGTTCCGGAACGGTAAGCATCTTCTTTTTCATCGAGGAAATATGTCGGGTAAATCAAGGTAAACTCCAATTAATAACGACAACGAAACAACAGGGAATCCAAATGAACCATATCAAAAACATCGACCTTCATATGAACGTAACACACACTGGTTATTGCAACTTTAAGAAGCACGGTAGTCTAGTGGTAGGACGACGGGCTCATGACCGAAGGGTCGCGGGTTCGAGTCACGTCACGGCACTGTGTTGTATATTGGAGCAGAATACGTTACTCCGCTTGTTCCAGTCTACTCAGCTGTAAATGAGTACGTGGTTGGGCAGTGCTAGAATTGTAGAATGCTAGCTGTGAGTGCTGAAATGGCAGCACCGGCTGTATACTCCCCAGGGAGTTGAGAAAGATAATTATAGGCTGGTTGCAAAGGCCCTATAACCACGGATATTAATTTATGAACCGCTTTGAGATGACCTACGAATTGAACTAGGTTGTGATAAAGCGGTATATATGAAATTCGAATTATTATTATTATTTAAGATTTGGTAATAGATACAGTTTGTCAATAATGAACTACACTGCATCATACAGCTGTTGTGTCCTTCTAGAATTCATCGGTGATGATGGGGCCAAAAAGTTGGAAATTCCAATTTGTCTAATCTACTCTAGTGACAGAATGCGGGTGTTGCGTGAAACCCCTTAATTTTATTTTTTGTGAAGAGTAGTGGTCAATTTCAAGTCGCAAAATTAATAAAATGTGTATATTATGAATCGTGCCACTACTCAAAAGAGATAGCTGTGGCTATCAAGGCTACGGCATACTTCGGGGACTAAATTAAATCCACCAGCAGAGTCTACCATCCTGAATCTTGAAAGATTGACACACGAGTGAGTGCACCTTTAAAACAATTTTAATAGATACTGTATGCCAAAAATTAATTTCACTGAATTGTACAAACAAAAAAATAGCATATTTTCCTATGAGATCATGAGGATGATCGTTAATTCTGCCCAGTCTTCCTCAACCTTAGACATTGTAGTTTTGTCCGTTGTATGAATACTTAAGTTATAACAAAATAGGTAACTTGAACTGTAACGCTGGTAATATGGAGCATGCACTATATCACTAAGTCATGAATGTGTTATGTTGATGTGTTACGCCGTGGAGAAAAAACACGAATGTTCTCACTGTATACTATTACATGACATAGGTTCCGCAAAATGTTCGTCATCATTCTGAAATATTGATTTACATACGAGGCAGGTGTTAAGAGATTATAACAAGTGACGAAAAGTTTTATGCTATCAGGTGACATTTCACAAGTCGTTGCGTTCGTAAACAATAGCTTAAGGCAATGTTGGTGCCACGGAAAAGTCTCCGCTATCTTTGTTTATTCTATTCTGTCATTTGAGAGGCTGCCATCAGCGCATTGATATTTACTTTGTACCAATGAACATCATTTGAAGTGGCATGGTATTGCTTAGTCTTATTTTTAAACACTGCTTTCATTGAAGGCTCGTACATAAACCAAAAGCAATAGACGAGTATGTACCTGTTGAACAAATGATTTGATAACAGCAGATATGCTTGACTTATTACATTATATTTTTAAGATTATTCTTCCAGCAACATGCTCATGCAAGGAACCTTGACCGCTATGAGTATCCTGTTAATTATTATCTTATTATATCACATTTTACAGTGTCCAATCTAATGTAAAGGAAATTACAATAATACGCTTCATTCAACTCAATCAGGAAAGAGTCTCGAAACGGCCTTGACACAATCAGGTAACCCAAATGTGTATGCATGTTCTAAACGAGGTAAACGTGTTTTCCTTGGTATGTGTCCGTATTTTAAACAACTCCTTTATAATCTCACACCTCTTGAATACGATAGCACATAAACCATACTACCGATACTCTGTAGGCAGGCTTAGTTGAATCACAAGGGTAGAGTGTCCTGTCCAGGGAAACCGTCTTGCGTTCAATACGCTGGTACAAACGATGCTTAATGTACTATATGTGCCGCACAAAGTAACCAAATTCCTTTGTGTATATATGAATACTCTTGAAATATTGATCAACTTTTTCACAAATTCTCACACGGATATATATATCTCACAAAAAAATACTTGTAGTATACATCTTATAGTTTTCCCCTTAAGTACACGACACTGGAAATATAATTTCCATGCCAGCATGTATTTCTTTCTCTAAAACGATTCATTCTAGCCAATGTTTATTTTTGCAATTATATCTCAAAAGATCAATCAGCAAATGTCTAATTTCTCCGACAGTAACAATTACAAATACACTTCATTGTTTAAATTCCGTTGGTGTATATGACTCACAACAAGAGTTACAATTCGCGATCTTTTCACAGAACGAACAAACGCCCATGACGATTATCTCGTGAAAGATTGATTATAACGACATTGAATTTTTTCCCCATAAACTCGTATCGTGAAATCAGTATAAGTAACACAAATTTATTTTGTTTGCAAATCATCAATATTGTTAAACAAATACACATCTTTTAATATTTTGACAGAAATACTAAAAATGTTCATATTTTGGTGGAGGTTATATTTAAGCGTTTTTAGTACTTTAAATACTGCGCTAAATTATTAATGCGCCCATTGAAGTTCATGCGTATTATTCTCTTTTGTATATTGTGTGGGTGCGCCAATTCATCAATGCGCACACCTGTTACAATTTGATAATGCGCTAAAATTTGAGTACGCTAAAATTAGTTATGTTACAGTAATGAAAGCATGGTGTTATTTTCTTTTTCTTTTTACTTTAATCTTTTGGACATACCGATGAATGTGTTGATAGGAGAATTTATTGAATGAAAGTCAATATGTAGCTTATCTTTTACTTGTTTGTTCGTATTTTCTAGCTAGAATATATAGTATGTTTGAATAGGAAAAGTGGTACAATAAAACAATATATACTTACGTATGAAATCATCGGCAAATTCCAGGCTGTGGCCACTGTAGCTTCAATGGCGCACGTGCCGTCCGGCCCTATGAATCCGAATGTTCCGTTCATGTACTGGTCTGTCATTGCTTGGAGGGAGTCCATTGTATCTTCCTGAGTGTCCGCGAACAAGGTTTCCATAGAATAGCCAGGCAACAATTTCGTTTTCGTGTTGACATCTTTCATGGCTTGAAAGTAGGCACCCCCAATCCACTTACCCTGCCCCTGACCCCAAACAGATGTAAGAAAAGACATTTTCACTACCCCGGGGATCGTCCCGGGGGTCACACTGGGACACTCCAATTCCACACCCACACAAATGGTCACACACAAGCTAAGCCAAATCCACATCCTTCCTTCCAAAGTGTCACAGTCCAATACATGAATATTTCCAGGGTAGAACTTCCATGGTAAACTCCGTTTCTAAGCCACCGAGCCCTCACTCAAATCTCACTACCGCAAATACGGCCATCCTGTCTTGACTGCTAGTCATCATGTTCATTCAGTGTTATAGGTCTCCGGCTTAACCTATAGTATCTGTGAATCAAGAAACAGTGTGTTAAAGTCTTATCTACGATTCCACTGCAAATAACACCGGTTCCGCAGATTTCGATTATACACGGTAAATGGTCTGTGCTAATACACAGCCGATAATCATTCACCTTCACAGATGTGTTGTCACACAGCAAACACCTATGAGATAGATATCTGTAAGTGTTTGGCCTCACGTATCGCTCGTTAAAACTTGAACTGTGTGCTATATTGATCTACAATACAACTTTAATGCTCTTTATAATACATATTTACCCCTGCTCCGTCACTTCAAAAGCCAACAAATGGCCGATCACCTCCCCCTTTTTCCTAAGCAAACATCCTGCCACACTTATCAAAAATCTCCTGTTGTACGTAAAGTATCCTCGCATAAAAGAACCCGTTTCAACTCAGCCGAGCTTGACTAAAAGTAATATTTATCTCTTAATGAATATATAAATATTATTGAACTAGTAAAATTCCGTGCTTGGTAGACGTCATTCTCGGCATTGTTATTTCTCTTGTGAACTATAGCTGATCGAGACTTTCTGTATAATAACTGTTACAGCGTATATAGGCTCCCTCCCATTGGATAATCGCACGGTAATAGATATACGTTATCGCAAGATGCAAACCAAGAGCAGGCTAATTATGATAATATCCGTGTCCCGAAAGGCTTACAGACAGTAGATGCTACTTCCAATTTGCGATTCACAGAAGGAATGAACAAGTTATTAAATTACCTAATTACACTAACAACTGATAAGTATGAAAAGACAAACAGCAGCTCGTTAAAATTATGTTGTCAACACAAATATATATATATATATATATATGCTACCGATTAAATTTCAGTCAATTGGTGATATGCTGCAGCGAGTCCAGTGTTCATAACAATGACTAAAGCTGTGCATCGCGGTATTGTTTGTCAATAGATTCGCATGTTTCATCAAGATAAAATGGGATGTCACATGAGCGAATGACGTTCATTTGACTGTAACATCTTTGCAGACAAACTGAACGCAGCTATTATTCAAACCCGGGTATTTTAGTGCGAATTCCAGGAGGAAACAGTTGCTTTTCCTTTCATGTTGAGGAATTAGATGAAGACAGAATTTGGTCCAAAGAACGCTGTCAGTTTTGTTATTTTGTAATTGAAGTTGAAAGTGAATTATCTAACCGTAACCGTCGAAGACTAACTTTCGTTATATATATATATTGTGTAGCACATATATAGTTTATTTTATAAATGTTCCGGCGCTCTGTTGTGTTTTCCAACGAACTTTGGTAGCAAATAGTCATATACGACAGAAATACATGTATTATCATTTCCTTTTCCACAAAAATATTTCCGCCATGGGTATTTGATTATTAGACCACTTGATGATAAAACCAGGAGCATATCCGCTGCGCTTTTGGTCAATATATGTATGTCAATTAATTCCTTTACCATTTCTTGTAATAATGTTAAAAAAGTTTAGTCGCCCTTAAAAGTCCTGCGGTCTAATATTAATATGTAAACATGTGTATGAATATTGATGAAATAATAACAATTATGAATTAAAGAATCCCGTTCCACTGCCAGAAAATATAATCATGCATCAGATCTAGAGACATTGCTTCTGGTATGATTCGAGCATAAATATATAAGTTATAAACATAAACCCATAGCTACTTGTAGCGGATCTTTCTATAACAAGTAATTAAATTAAAATGAAACTAAGAAAAAGAGATCATCAACGGTGTTCCTAGTGTACAATAGCAACAGGGATAGAGCGGTTTCGAGTCCCATTTATTTCTGATTACCATTATGTTGCTTTAACCAAATAAGTTACTTAGTCAACGATAGTAATCTGGCCCATTCGCGCTAGATATATCCCAAGAGAAATTACGGGGAGGATACTCTATGTACATGCCCAAAAAATCTACCGTTGAATTCCGTAGTGTTTTACCTTCAGTGGAACATGGACCCTTTATTGAAAAATAGTTAAAGTCTGTATAACGTAGAAAAACGGTGGGATTGTTTACCTTAGCTTAGCCTTTTTATATAAAATCACCAACACGTCATTCGAAATCCGATAGACAATTTACATGTTACAATGATCGAAATATTCTTAGTGGGGCGCCTTTGTATCACACGCCACAGCAGCTATAGTGTTTAGCACTATTTACCCGATTTAGATGTATATTGTTTCATTGAGAAGTGCTTGTATTATCTGACGTCATGTTCATGTCCGCCCATCTAAGCTTACTGTCATCAACGCAAAAAAGCAAATTGACAGAAATGATCGTATTCCACAACGACATTGTTTCTCATAACTCCAGTGTTTACCGCGCAAACATAAATAATTACACACATAATTGCTCACGTGATATTAGACAGAAAAGAACCAAAACAATGCACCCATTCATCGATGTCAAAACAGCAGTGGTATTGAATTAAATGGCGACAGTTTTCCTCTAAAGACGTTATAATGCTATGAACGCATTTGACATGCTAAATACAAAACAACATAGAAAATCAGTCCGTCGTAAAACCTGGGAGTGTATAGCGGTCAATAGGCGACACATTCTAACAAAAACACCTAGGGAAAAAGGCTTATTTCGAACCAGGTTATATAGAACATATCGTATTTGCATGTTTGTACATCACCTTTAGTGCCACTGAAGAGCCTTTGTCAGACGGAATGACAAATGAATGCTGTGTTGACTTTGCTTGGCTTTCTGCATCGACTAACCGATGTTTTAAATAGGTGTTTAGATGGCATTCCTATCAGCTGTGACTACCAAGGCTCAAATGTTGACGTCATCATTATTACGTCATACTTGTAATCGTTTTGCATTTTCACTGTATGTATATAAGCCTTCATCATTAAGACGCCATTCACACAGATTATGAATGCCGTGGCCTGATTGGTGACGTCATCAGTTTTATGACGTCAAAGCTGTTACGTTGAATACCAATGACACTCCCCAGACCATTGGCTTTTCCGTTCATAAAAAAGAATATACGATGATTTCATTATTTGAACTTAATGCTGAATAGTGGTAAGTGTAATTAAGTTTATGGTAAATATAAGTACTAAACTGTTTTTGGTTGGCATTCATAGGAAATATGAATGGCATGCAATGGCAAATTTAATAAAGCGTAATGCTTAAATAAAATAGAGAGAAAAAAATGCGTTAATTATTTTATTTGTTGTTTCTCTTTTTATCTTTCTGTAAGAATGATTAAAAAAATCTCAATTTCAAGATAGCTACTTAATCTCACGATTACGGTTTCCCTAAACCAGCGTTAAAGAGCTGTAGAGAACCGATTCGACACATTTACATACGTTCAATGGATACAACGTTAGTGGGTAATTTTGGAGGCAACATTTAATCCCTACAAACTGCCTTCCAAGTTCAAATTACGATACATGCTATACATGTATATGTGTCTCATTAACTACTTTGATAGATTGGTTAGCTCGATTGATAGCTTGATTGGGCTCTTCTATGTCTTCAGCTTAGGTCATGTGATGCAGTGGTCCGTAGATGAAGGGGCCACATTGAAGGGTCATTTTTAAATGTCATCCCTGAAGAATGGCATATTCTAAACAGTTCATCCTGTCATTATTCTGACAAATGGCTAAAATAACGCCACATAGAAAAAAAGGTGTTGATAAGAGACGGAAAACAGGTAGACACTTGAATAGGGAAGTACTGTAAAATCATAAATTTTCGTGGGACATTAAATTTCGTTTAGTTCGTGGATAACAAAAATCCACGAAATTAAATCCCCACGAATACATAAATTTTGTATGATATAGATAGGGGAAAATCAGAAATCAGCGGAATATAATGTCCTTGATACAGGCTATTTTATAAAAACCACGAAATTTTAACCCAACGAAAATAAATGATTCTACAGTAGTCGTTTCTCTCTACAGGTTGCTGAAAAACAATGACACACGCTTCAATGTTGAAGAAGCTGTAGAGAAACGGCAAAAAGTACCTAGCATCCTACATGTAACTGATCATCAAGCTATGTCATGTTGAATTGCAGTAATCGCTATCTAAGACTTGTGTAATTACGTGCTGCCAGGGAAGGTATGATAGAATATCGTTTGACGAATGAAACGATCAGATTTTGCATGGTGTTAAATTGATGTACTCTGATTTATTTACATTGGTAAAAGGTTAGGCCCGCGTAATCATCATGCGAGCTCTCAATATCGGAATTGCGTCATTACTAACAAAATAAAAGGTTCGTGTGTTGCCTTCTGTCCTTTATGCTTACCCCAATATATTAGTTTCAAACATATTTTCTTCCTTAGCAGTATTCTTGAGATATATTGCAAAGAGATATACAATTATACTGGCTAATGAGATCACCTCTATTAAGAAACCACCTGTGTAAACAGACCACTTTTAATGTAACACACGTAAGTGATTTTTTTTAACTGAACATGTATCAACACTACCTGTGTTAAGAGACCACTTTTTGACTCTCCGACGATGGTCCCTTAATACAGGTTTGGCTATAATGTACATGAAATAAATATGTAAATTTACAATAAATTCTTTGATGATTACTAGGATTGGTTGACCCTGTGCTCAACCCAATGTACATTATGATGTCCTCGACGCGGGAAGTATTCCATTTATCATAATTGAATTGAATTGAACGATGCCTTCTTTAATGTAAATTGTAAATTATAAAGGTTATAAGACGAAATAACATCCACCTGAATTGTTAATGTTGAGAAAAGAAATATATATAAACTAGCACAACCGACATATGACATATGACCGTCTGTGATCACTAGTCATCCACCACTGGGTCGCGGGTTTGAGGCCTACGTGAGGCAGTCGCCAGGTTTTAGTCGGAGGTCGGTGTTTTTTCTCCGGGTACTCCGGTTTGCCTGCAACAACAAAATCTGGCACGTCCTTAAGTGACCAAAGCTGTAAATAGGACGTAAAATGCAAAAAGGAGGGGGGATACAAATTAACAACTTGTCTTACATAAACCCACCATTGTTTGTTTTGCAGAGCACGAGATGATCTTGCAAAAACACAGAGGGCATGCAAACCTGCTAATAAACCAGTACACGTATGAAATTAAACAACCAATTTCTCTCCGACAGTGTTAATGCCCAAAGTCATCACTTATATAATTGACACAGTATATTAATTGTCATAAAACATGCTGTTATCTATATTTTGATACTTATTATAAATTAATATAATAACTGAACACTGTTCAAACGTATTCAGCCTGTCAAAAATACTCATTCAACATTATAATGAAGGATTTGTCGCATATAGCTTAACAATCTAAGTAATAGTCAACAATATATATATATCAACATTATATGCACAAGTGCATCATATTTAACTCAAAATACAAATAAGGGTGACTCGGCATGGTATTGCATTGCAGTAGCAATTAACGTCGGCATCAGATCCGCGCTATGGCAAATTTACCAATATACCCTTACCTCCAGCACACAAACATG